ATTGTAGTTGATTTCCTTTATAATCCTACATACCTTATTTTATCCATTTAAAAATACAATTCTGAGAAGGGGTCCCTAGACTTCACCAGACTGTCAAAAAGGTCCAGGATACACGAAAAAGATTAAGAACCCCTGATCTAGCCCAATGTGTGCCTGAATAAAAATCACAGAATTTTAGAGTTGGAGGGGATGTCAGCATTTATCTAGTCCAAACATATCCAGGAGTCTCAACTCTTAAAATACTCAACAATTCAACATCCAGCTTCTGCCTGAAGACTTCCAATGAAGAGGAACTTGTCACCTCTGGCTCTGCCCTTTGGGGTCCAACAGTTCAAGTCTAAGCCCTCTTCTACATGACTACCTTCATGACCCTGAGTCTTTTCTTCTCCAGTCTTTACATCCCAAGTTCCTTCAACTCATGCACATATGGCACAAATCAAGCTTCTCCACTATTCTGGTCACCATTCTCTGCACGTTCACCAGCTAATCAACAGCCTTGCTAAAATGTAGCACCTGAAAACACAGTATTGCCAACATGTTCTGACCAGGGCATTTCCTTTCCTTGGAACCTATGCATGTCTCTCTTAACAGACTAAAATTACAAAGGGTTTTTTGGCTCCCACATCACACTATTAACTCACATTGAGCTTGAAGTACTATAAAACCCCCATATTTTTTTTTTGAAACAAACTGCCTGTCTAATCATGCCTCTTCCCATCCTGCAGTAGTGAAGCTGATTTTTTTTAATCCAAGGGATAGGGATATAGGGATATAGTTATCCCCATAAATTCGACTCAATGCCCTGGTCCAGAAATATCACACTCCAAAGTGCTGCCTGAATCAAATTAAAATGTAATTGGGAAAAGTTTAACAAAATAAATTAAAATACAATGTAACACCGATAATTAATTTGTGGTTTTTTGATTCAATATATGATCTGCAGGAATCCATTTCTATCTGATGATAACACTGGTCTATACTCGCAGCGCTTCTTAAACTGTGGGTCGCAACACAGTTTAAGAAGCACTGAAGGGGTCATGAGTGGAAAACGTTTAAGAAGCCCTGGACTCTACAGCATTCTTCTCATCTTTGCTGCTGTTGTTATTCATTCATTTCAGTAGTATCTGATACTTCATGACCCCATTTGGGATTTTCCTGGCAAAAATCCTAGAGTGGTTTGCCATTTTCTTCTCAAGCTCATTTTACAGATGAGGAAACTGAGGAAAGCAGGGTTAAGTGACTTGCCCAGGATCACACAGCTAGTAAGTGTCTGACGCGAAATTTGAACTCAGAAAGATGAGTCTTCCTGACTCTAGACCCGGCACTTTTTTCCACTGCGCCACTTAGCTGCCCTTCATCTAACAGTATAGTAATCCTGTTAAACCAAGAAAGGTTGGACCAACAAGAAACTATGAAACTTCAAAGAAGCAATCACTGCTTCTTTTACTCATTTAAGAGGGCTACATGGAAGGAAAAGTGGGTTTAAAATCAGAGGACCTTGGTTCAAACTCCAGTTGTATAGCACTGGGCAAGTTTTTCTTCATTTATAAAATGAGGGTGTAGGGTTAAATGATGTCTAAAAACCTTTTTCTGCTCTAAATCCTTCCATCCTATGAAATGTAAAATTCTACATTTTAATTTTTAAAAATCAATTGGACATAATAGACAAAGCACAGCTAGAAAATCACTTATATAAAAATGATCTGGATATTTTACTGAACTTCAAGGTGAATATGAATCAACAGGATGAAATAGCACATACACATGCACGCACGCACGTGCACGAACACAGACACACACACTCCATATTAGGCCACCTTAATAAAAAGCTTCAAATACAGAATAAAGGAGGTGATAATCCACCTGTCTTCTGCTCTTTTCACATCCTAGCTAGAGTAGTGTATTGTGTTCTGGGCACTGCATTTTAGTAAGGACATGGACTAATTGGAGCACGTCTAGTAGAGGGAGAGCCAATGATGAGAGAATCAGGAAGGACTTTTTTTTTTTAAAAAAATCATTTGAAAGAATCAGGGATGTTACCCCAGTGAAGAAAATAATTAAGGGGAGTATATGAGAGCTATCCAATAATGAATTTTATAGCACTTTAAGGTTTACAAAGTGCTTGATAAATATTATGTCTTTTGATCCTCACAACAATGCTGAGAGGTGGGTGCTATTATTATCCCCATCTTACAAATGAGGAAATCAAGGCAAACAGAGGTGTCTGAGGGCAAATTTGAACTTAGGTCTTTCTGACTTCAAATTATCACCTAGCTTCCTATCTTCAAGTATTTATCTGAAGAACTGTCATGTGGAAGAGGAATTACAATTGTTCTACTTGGCATTAAATGGTAGAACCAGGATCCACAGGTACAAAGCTAGCTGCAGAGAGCTAGATTTTAATTTAACATGAAGAAAAACTTCTTAACAATTAGAACTATCCAAAGTAGCAGCCCTTTGGAACAGAGAGACATCATGTTAGGGTGGATAGGGCCCTCAACCTTGAGTCAGGCAGACTTAGGTTCGAATCCCCCCTTAGACACTGACTAGTTGTGTAACTCAGGGCAGGTCACTTAAAATTTGTCTCAGTTGTTGCTTCTATAAAATGAAGGAGTTGTATTCAGTGGCCTCTAAGGTCCCTTTCAGCTCAAAATCTATATAATCATATGACCTTTAGAGTTAAGAGTTCTTCATCAATGGAGGTAGTCTTCAAAAGGACTCTGTATAATCACTAATTGGAGGAATTATAGAAAAGGTTATCCTTTGATTACAAGTTGGACAAGATGATCTCAGAAGCACCTTCTGATTCTATAAAAATTACATTTGGCCATTAGGAGTAGAAAAACAGAAGTAGATGAGCGATAAAGAAGGAAGGGAAGGAATATTTTGGCCACAGATACGGGGAAACAAAAAAATATTAAGCAAGATGCAGGGGTGTTGGGCAAGGTAAATCCCTAAATTTGATTAACATCCCTAAATTTAGGCTAATTTTGTTTTGAATTGTTTTAAATGTCATTTTAATTAGGACACAATATATAGGAATATGCAGGGGGAGAAAAAAGGATTGTTAACTACAGACATATGTGTTTTTTTATTCAATTCAGTAGCTAGTGTCCATCTACAAAAAGGAAAATAAATACTGAATTATTAAAATAACAAAAAAAAATGGGGCCTTCCCTCAAAAATATCATCAGTCATTTACTTATTCATTCATTCCTGACTTCACTCAAGTCACTCTGAGCTTCAGTATACTTATATATAGAACAGGGATGGCAAAAGAGGATTTAAACAAGATAATAAACATAAAAAATGTTGCAAACCTTAAAGCACCATATCAGGGGTTCTTAAACTGGGGTCTATGAATTTATCTTTTTTTTAACATTCTGATAACTGTATTTCAGAGTAATTAGTTTCCTTTGTAATAGTATGTATTTTATTTTATTCATTTAAAAACATTAAGCTGAGAAGCCCATTGGTTTCACCAGACTACCAAAGGAGTCCATGAAAAAAAATGGTTAAGAACCCCTGTAACATATAAATGCCATCATCATCGTCATCATCATATTTACTCCACCCTATAAGATCCTGTTGGATTGAGAGGCAGAAAAGACCTTAGAATTGTCTAATCCAGTTCTTCATAATACAGAAGAAGAAATTATTGCCTAGATAGATTAAGAGATTTGTCCAAGATCATAGAGGTAATAAGTAATATCCAGTGCTTCAACCAGGCCCTCTAACTTCCAATTCAATGCTCTTTCTAGAATATCAGATGGATTTGTTGTGAAGTTAAAATGAAGTAAGAAAGGAAGATAAGTACTTTATATTGATGAAAGTTATAATGATAATGGAGGAAAGAGATTTGCCTTCTGTATCTCATGCATATGGGAAATAACTCTTTCTACCCTCTGTTGTTGTTGTTGTTGTTGAGTAGTGTCTGCCTCTTAGTGACCCCACACTTACTTGACAAAGACAGTGGAGTGCCTTACCATTTCCTTCTCCAGCTCATTTTTCAGATGAGGAACTGAGGCAAACAGGGTTAAGCGATTTATCCAAGGTCACACAGCTAGTTAGTGTCTGAGACTGGATTCGAACTCAAGAAGATGAGTCTTCCTGATTCCAAGCCTAGTGCTCTATTCACTGTGTCACCTAGCTGTCCCCTCTAGACTTCCTCTTCATGTAGTGGCATCAAGTGGCATCCTTTGTAATTTTAGATCTTTTCCACTCTGCCTTTTTCTAAGAAAGGTTCTTTTAATACTTTTGTAGTCTCTCACACAATAGTTTGGATCTTCTATGATTCAGTAAAGTGTAAACTCTTTGAAAGCAAAGATAATTTCATTTTTGTCTTTGTATCCCCAAAGCCTAGTAGAAAGCCTTGCACACAACAGGTGCTTGTTAATGTTTATCAAGTAGAATAGGAACAGCAGATCATATCTGTTGACAAAATTAGTCTTCATGAATTAATTTCTTTTTTTGTCTGGACTTGTGTGTTTTATAATAAAAAAGTTACATAACTTTTGCTCAAATAAAATTACTTTCCCTTTCCTAACTTTGGATCCTCACCGCTTATCCAAATAAGGATAACAGAAATACTTGTACTGTGTGTGTAAGCATCTTTTGCCAACAAGACAATACAAATATGTAGAAAGCTTTTGATCAAAAAAAAATTAAAAACTTCCCCTGTATTTTAAAGTTATTAATGTCCTCACAGAAATTAGTCCAAGTTTTCATTGACACAACCAAACCCAGTGCTAAGCAACAGCAGCTCATATGATAAAAAAGCAAAGTTGTTCACTACACTCCCTCTTTGGGAAAAATCAGTATGAATGTTTCTGAAAGCTGCATGGGCAAGTCACCAAAGTGAGAGTTAGAAAGGACCTCATAAATGAATGAACAGCCAACAAATGGCCATGGCACCTTTGCTTGAAGCCCTGCAGTGGGGGACGCCTCCTGTGACTAGGCATTACGGTTTGTTTTCTCTGTGATCGACTCAAAGTACCTACCAGGAACGTGTTTCCACAGTGCCCACACACTACTCGCGTCCCCTCTGGTTGGGCTGGTAACGCAGGCTGAGCAGGCTGTTCTTCGGGAATTAGCATTACTGGGCCCAGACTAATGATGCGTCTACTGTGGAAAGAAAATTAAACAGCTTCCTCATCCCACAAGGAGACTGATGACAGAAAAGATCTAAAGACTCCTGGGCTATATAGCATATGGTCCCAACATACTTTCCACACATACAATAAATGTGAAACTTCATTTGGTGTTGAAAGGATAATTTTCTTTATCACAAAAGCTTAGCAAATCTTCTATAGGCCAGTCCTGATCCATCATTTCCTAAGATCCTGAAAAATAATTATATTTCTATTCCCAGGTTTTCTTAATTATGAAATAGGAGGGAAAGTATCTGATATTCCCTGAAAGCACCAGAAGGGTATTCTCAGTTTGTAAGAAGACCACATAAAATACAAACTGTCAAGTAAAAAAAAGCATCAATATTAACTTTATGAGGGAATAAAGTCATATTTTATATGTTTCATATATGCCTTATATTTTTTACTATATTTTTAAAAGTGCCTATATTTTTAAAAGTCACAAGCATGACTAATACTTTCCAGTATTACGGTTTACACCACCTCAACAGGAATTTCCATACCATGTACATGATAGAGCTTCTATTAAGTTACAACCAAATTGCTGGGTAAGTGAAAAAATTGGGCTAGTACTATAATTAAATTGCATCTTCTCATTCAATAAACCCAAATCCAATTCAGTTATTTGTGGTAGTAGGGAGGAAGGCATAATATGGATACCAATAGATAATCTACCAATGTCTTTTTGGCCAACAAGTTCAGCCTCTTTTTGCTATCAAACCTTTAATCAGCGCTTCCAACAGATAAAAAAGTGGGGTGTTCCTTCCTCCTTCAGTTTGCCTTGTGGTAGAAGTACAAATGACCCATGAAATTTCCAAAATTCAGGAAAGCAGAGAAAAAAGAGATGACATAAGGTCCTGATATTCATGGATACAAATATGCTCATAATTACATTCATCATGCATACATATTAATACTGATAAAGTATGTACAGTATATGCTTAAATACACACTATGAAATACATCAATTAAGCACTTAATACTTGAAAGTAATTGACATGGTAAAGGTGAAGTAAGTTGTCATTTTTGAGGATGTCAACAATGAATCAGAATGATTTAACTCAAGTTCTTAAATAATAGTTATTTAGTATCTAGGAAATTTTCATCAGTTATTCAAGAAGATTATGTACACAAAGGCAGTTAAATCCATCAAGTCCACAGTTCACAGCTCCCATTTGATGTAAAAGAAAAATGAATTACTGAAGTTATGTATCTTTAATTCTTACCAGTTGGGTCTTGGACATCCTATTCGCCGAGATGTATCCTTACAGATGAGGAGACAATTACACGGACATCTAACATATTTCTTCCCTGTTGGTGGGTTTTTGATTGGCTACATAAGGTGGGGGGGGGGAAGCCAAACATAGGTCATGAAAAAGAAGAATAGTAATAGTAACATTTATATCATGTTTTAAGGTTTACAAAGCACTTTACAAATATAATTTCATTTGATCCTCAAAACAAACCTGATAGATAGGTACTATAATTATACCCATTTTACAGATTAGGAAACTGTGGCAAACAAGAGTTAAGCGACTTGCCCAGGGTCACACAGCTAGTATCTGAGGCCATATTTGAACTCAAGCCTTCCTGATTCCAGGATATCTATCCATTACACCAGCTAGCTGTCACTAAACAGAGAATATAAAGTCACAATGTTGTTCCCTTTTTTTTGAATTGTATAAGGTACCTTCAAACCTGAAATTCACTAGTATACATCAAAGCTCACCTTAATTTAGGAAAGTTCCTATTTCTAATGTTATCAAATCATTGAAAATTTTTAAAATAGAAAACTTTCTAAAAGGCTGGAAAAGTCTTTATCACTTAGTTAAAATTTAAACATCCAGAAGCTAGAATACATTTTGGGAGTGGACAGAAAGAAGAATATGGGGTAAATGATTTATAAAATTACTATGTACTACTTCCTGCTATTCTATACACAAGATATTCTATCTTCCATCTCTTGGAATTAGCAGAAACTGTCCCCTATACCTGGTATACACTCCCTTTTTCACCTCTGCCTCTTAAAATTCCTAGCTTTCTTCAAAGTTCAGCTCAAATTCCCCAGTTGCTAATGGAGAGATGGGGGGGGAAGAGAGAGAAAGAAGGAGAAACAGAGACAGAAACAGAGAGAGACAGACACTGAAAGAGAGATGGGGAGAGGAGGGGTGGGAGAGACAGAGCATACTTACACGTGTACATGTGTCTACCCCCAAAACAACACAAGCTTCTTGAGTCCATGGACTTTTTCATTTTGTCTTTGTAATCATAGTCCTAGCACAGCATCTGACATATATTTGCTGTTTAATAGATGGTTGTGAATTAAGTGTGGTATAAGAGAACAAGGGAATGGAATAAGCATTTATTAAGCATCTATGATGTGCTAGGTACTGTGCTAAGCACTTTACAAATATCTCATTTGATCCTCATAATAAACCTGGCAGGTAGGTACTATTATGAACTGCATTATGGAGTTGAAGAAGGCACACAGAGGTTAAATGATTTGGCCAGGTTTATATAGCTAGTATTTGAACTCAGATCTTCCTGATTCCAGGCCCATTGAGCCAACTAGGAGCCTTCATGGGAGTCAACTGTCTTATATTCTAATCCCACTACCAGCACAAACAAGTGACCCTGGAAAGGTCATATAACTTCTCTGGGATTTCATGCTCCTCTATTGTAAAATGAGAGGATTAGATTAAGTAACTTCTAAGGTCCCTATCAATTCTAAAACTCTATAGTTCCTTTGATATCTATGTATATTTAAATAATCTAATTTATATCTGTCACTTTCTCTCAAAGCATACTGAAACCTTAATTCATGCTATCCTCACCATTCATCTGGACAACTTTAAGAGGATCATAGGATAAAGGTACCTCATAGGTCATCTGGTCCAATTCCCACTCTTATTTTACAAATGAGTAAACTGAAGTCCAGAGTTGAAATGACACAGGTACAATATGGCAGTGTTGGAAATGGAACCAGACCTTTTAACTTCAAATCCAACAAACATGTTACTCTACCATGTTTCCTCCCTGACCCCTAAAAGACACCTTATTGATCTCCTTGCATCCAGGCTCTTCGATTTATTCTTCACATAGCTACCAAAATAATTCTCCCAAGATACAAATCTGATCATGACCAAGTCATTCTCCTGTTAAAAAAGCTAGAGTGGTCTCCAATTGCCTCAATTATAAAATCCAAACTTCTTAACCTGGCATTTAAGGCCTACTGCAATTAGGGTCCAAAATCCTTCCCCAGGCATGTTTCATGTTATTCCCTAAGAGGCTGTACATTCCAGACAAACTGAGCTTCTAGCTATACCTTGAACTTGAACCTCCATATTGTACTTCTTGTTCATCACCCAAGTCATGCCTAACATGGAGTATGCAACCCTCTCCTACTCTCTACTTTTCAATCTCCCTATCTTCCTTCAAGGCACAGCTCCTACTCCCGCCATGAAGCTTCAAATGATTCCTCTCATTTATTACTGGCCTCTCCTGCAAATAGACCTAGAACATTTTTGATTCTGCCATCCCTTCCTATCTCTTATTATACTCATCTTTGCACATGCATTATCCACCTACTAGAGCATAAGCTCTTTGACGGTACAGTCTACTTTCTTCTTGTTCCTTGCACATAGTCGGTACTTAATAAATGTTGAACTGAACTAGATTTCCAAAAGGTAGCTTCACAGGTAGCTAGAGAGCACAGTGGATAAAGCACTGAACCCAAAGTCAGGAAGACTTGTTCAGCCTCAAATTCAAATTCAGCCTCAGATACTTCATAACTGTGTGATCTTAGGCAAATCACTTAACCTCTGTCTGCCTCAGTTTCCTGATTCATAAAAATGGGAATAATGATAGCACCTATACCCAAGGATGCTCTGAGGATCAAATGAGATAATACTTATAAAGCATTTTATAAACTTTAAAGCACTACTTAAGTGCTAGCCATTAGTATTATTATATCCATACATAAACTATGCCAAGCACTATTCAGGTTTTGATACATTCTGACAACTCTCTCTGGCCCATATAGTTAATACTTGAAAAATTATGAAATCTACATACAAAATGGTACCCCACATTATGGGTTATTGCTCTAATATCTCTTACCATAAAAAAAACTATCCAAAGAAACAGAATACATGGGACCAAGGACCTTGGTTTTTATAAGATAATAATATTTGTAAAACACTTAGCACAGTGCCTGCCTGGCACATAGTAAGTGCTTAATAAATGTTCAATCCTTCCCTTCTCCTTGGTTAATAAAGAAAAATATATCTTTATTTGTCACTTAACATTTCTGATCTGGCTTCACATATTCACATATATTCTAGCCAAACTAGACTGCTTGCTATTCCTCCAAACTAAACATTCTCTCCCACTGCCATATCTTTGCATACGTTGTCCCCCATGCCTGGAATGCCTTCTCTCTTTACGTCTAATATTATAATCCTGTTGTCTTCAAGAGTCAATTAAGGTAAAGCCTCTTACAGAAAGCCCTTCCTAATCACCCCAGTATTTAGTATTCTCTCTCTCTCTCGCTCTCTCTCTCTCTCTTTGAATTATCTTGTATTTACATGTACATGGGATATCCTTCCAATTGAGTATAAACTCATTTGAGGCAGGAATTGTTTCATTTTTGTCTTTAGATTGCCACCATAATACTTCATACACAATCTATGCTTAATGCTTACTGAATTCTTTCTCCATGTCTAAATAATCATTTTTGAGATGGTTTATGGCCTATTTTTTTTTAAGTTATCTGTCTCTTTGTTTGCTCTATGGTTGCTTCTAAATGGCTAGACATTTGCACTTCCTTGTAACAACTCACTGGGAGAGAATAAAAATTCCCACAACTCTCCCCATCTCCCATCCCCTCGACTCAATGATCATGTAATTAAATGAGTAACAAAACAGAGGTGGAGAATTCAATGGGGCCAGTGTTGAGGCATAATTGGCATCACTCTTCTCTCTTGGGATAAAAAGAGCTGTCAAAGGGTGAGGATATTACAGGGAGTAATAATTATCTCCAGGCAAAAACCTACCTTACTTGTGACCTTTATCATAAAGCATTTTTTTTATATCACTCATTCTTCACAAGGATTGACAATGTAAAAATCTGATATAAGCATATTTCTTCCAAGTATAGTGTTAACTGAAGCCTTATTATTTTTCAGTTTACTTCAATTATCAACAAATGTTGATTATGCATAAGGTGCTGTATTCGTTTCTGCCCTCATGGAGCTTTTTGGGGGACAGGGCAGAGGGAAGTACTGATAATGGCACTACAGAGGACAGAGAGTGTGATAAGTACAACAAAACGGTCCAGACAAAATGTTCTAGCAAAACTTGGGTAAGGAGAGACATTCAAGTGGGGGTATAGGGAAAAAACAAAGTTCATCCTTTAGAATATGTGTTGTGAACCAATTAAACATTATCAAAGTGGATGTGTCTGAGTCACCAAACTATTGGTAAAATGGCTTTCTGTCTTGTTTCCAGAAGTAAATGATTATCTACACCAGTCATGAAAACTCATTTGAGCACTCTACATGCAAGAAACGCATTTTAATAGTTTCACCCATAGAGTGAAGCTACATCTCTCATTTACAAAACTGCCTGATAAAACCTTTTTATCATAAGAAAAAAAAGAAAATGGACTTAACTGTGATGGGAACAGAGTCTAACTAAGGACAATAAGTAATGATCTCACAACCTACTATTCTGACTTACTTATGTAAGAAGACAAAATGCATTCCATTCAAAACAATCATGAGGACTTTTTAATTGATTTAGCTTCCATAATACACTGTGGTCATTATAAAGGGATCCCAGTGTTTGTATTCCTGCCCAACTACTACTAGGGTAATGCTACTGATACACTTCATTTAGAAAGGACTCACATGCCAATTTAGGCTTTCTTAAGCGGGGGGAGGTTGTGGGGGGAGCCCTTACCGTAGCTTCATTGCAGACTGTACATTTCACTACATGCTGGTGAAGCTTGCCATCCAAATTGATTAGAGATTGGCACACACGGCAGTTTATTATAGGAACACCACTGGCATCTGGACTAGCAATGGCTGTGTAAGGAGGTGGGAGTTCCGCTGAAAAGACAGGAATCAAGTCAATAAGCATTTATTAAGTGCCTACTTTATGCTAGGTACTGTACTGAGTGGTTGGAATACAAAGAAGGGGGGTGGGGGACTCAGTTCTTACCCTTGAGTAGCTTACAATCTAAGAAGAATAAGCATTTATTAAATGACTAGTCTGTTCCAGAAACTGTGTTAACTGCTTCACAAATATTTATTAGACCCTCACAACAAAACTGACAGGTAGGTGCTATTATTATTATCATTCCCAATTCACAGATGAGGAAACGAACAGACAGAGATTGAGTGACTTGCCCAGGGTCACACAGTTATTAAGTGTCTGAGCCCAAATTTGAACTCAGGCCCTCCTGATTCTAGGTACCATGTTCTACCTACTGTACCACCTAGCTGCTTAACATGGGGAGACAAGATACAAACAACTATGTAAAAACCAGAGCAATACAGGATAAATTGGACATAATCTTAGAGAAGATACTAGAATTAAGTGAAAATAGGAAAGGTTTCTTGTGGAAGGCAGGATTTTATATAATACTTGAAAAAAGTCAGGGAAGCTAGGAGGTGACAAAGAGGAGGAAGATGATTCCAGGCATAGGAGTAAAATGTGATGTGTGTAATCGTGTCTGACTTTTCATGACCTTATTTAGGGTTTTCTTGCCAAAGATACTAGAATGATTTGCCATTTTCTTCTCCAGCTCATTTTACAGATGAGGAAACTGAGGCAAACAGGGTTGAGTGACTTGCCCAGAGTCACCCAGCTAGTAAGTGTCTGAGGCCACATTTGAACTCAGGAAAATGAGTCTTCCTGACTTCAGTCCAGTCCTCTATCCACTATGCCACCTAGCTGACCAGGCATAGGAGAAAGATAGTGGTAATGTAGGAAGATGGAGTGTCTTGTGTGAAGAACAGTAAGGATGCAGGTGTTGCTGAATCTTAAGTTATAAGAAAACTGTATATGCAGGTGGGGGAGGTGATGTCATTATTAAGAGGCTAAAAGGGAAATGGGATTCTTAGAGAAATTATGCCTATTGTGAACACAGAGGCAATACAGATGACTCTTAAATATTCTATAAGGATGTTCAAGGAACAGAAATCTGCTATGCTTTTAGTCCTGTTTTTTAAAGAAGTCACCTAGACTAGGTTCCCCAAAATTAGTCTCAGGAGATGAAAGCAAATATATGTATAATAAAATATTCCTAGCTTTGAGTTCATATCTGATTTTTTTAAGGCTCATCCACAATGCCACAGTTTCCAACACCTACTTTTCAGACGTTATGATCAAATCCAGTGAACAAATTCACTCTTTATTTCAAAAGAAAGGTGATTAAAATTTTATTAGTACCACTCCTCTTCCCATTATATTGCAACCCTTATGACCATTATTAGACAGCTCCTTCATTGTTTCATTCCCTGCCCCTCATACACAATATCATCATCTAAAGGTCAACTTTCTGCATAGAAGCCTGTCCAAACTTAGCCAGTTTAGTCCTTAATGGCAGACACAAAGTCTATATTGTCTGAGATGCTCATGGATAATAAAATGAACCTAGCTTCCAACTCATAGCAGTTACTGGGCCTCTACCAGAAGCTTTTCTGGTTACAATCCAGTAAAAGTCAGTCTGGCTATTCTGTGCCTAATGCAAAAACCTTGGCCCAATATTCAAAGAATATTTAAAATCTGCAGAAAATGCCTATGACAGCAAATCATTAAGTTATGATCTAATTTTGCAGCTGTAAATGTTCTTTTGTTAGGTAAAGAAGCATAGATCCTTCCACTTACTACTTCTAGGCTTACGTGGTAGATTTGTACATTTAGACTATTCTCCAGGAATCAGCAGGCAAAGATTTAATGGAGAAAAAAAAAGGAAATTCTCTGATCTCTCTTCTCCTCTCATACAGTCTCATGCTGGCATCCTGTGTAGTCCTGCTCCCAAAAGGTACATAAATAGAGCATCCTTTTATAACCTTGGCATCTTGGCTCTTCCTCGACATCTCTCCCCATTCCATCCCCCCCAACACACACACATATACACTCTCACTTTAGCACTCTTCCTCATCTTATGAACACACAGTTCTGCTATGGATTGCATATAGTTACTAAGATAAGGACTAAAAAGAGGACAATTCACAAGAGGCAGAGATATGGGGATGCTCTTTGGGCCACAGTGCCATATTGCATTTGACATAAACTGGGGCTTTGTGGGAGTGCCAAGTTGGGATGATGAAGGTTCTGGTAAAACTGCGATGTCAGCAGTTTAAGGAATAGACACAATAGGGGTAGATACAAAGCTTTGAACCTCAGCCAGGGAAGCAGGGAATCAGTATAACCATACTGGAACAGAATAGTTTCCTCTTCCTCCAAGGAAATAAGGAAAATCAAGACAGACTGGGGCCCAAATGACCACTGACAGCCTAACATGAAAAGGCAAATAGATCAGATAAGGCACAGTTTTAGAGTCATAAGTATTCCTCTTCATATAATGGAAACTGAGTACTGGAGTTTGAGAATTAAGGAATAGAAATGCTCTCATATCCTTTTAGTACCATTTTAAAAATTAATTATCTATCCTATATTCCTCTAAACCAGGAGTTTTTAACCTGGGTTAAATGGAAAAATTTCAGAGGGGCCACGAACTTGGATGGAAAAATATTTTGAAAACTGTCTTTCATTTCTTTGTTTTGTTTTGTTTTGTTTTTTTGGTGAGGCAAAGTGACTTGCCCAGGGTCACACAGCTAGTTAAGTGTCAAGTATCTGAGGCCAGATTTGAACTCAGGTCCTTCTGACTCCAAGGCTGGAGCTCTATACACTGTGCCACTTAGTTGCCCCTGGCTTTCATTTTAATTGGTTGTCTTTGCAATCCTTTGCAAAGGATTTATTTTAAGAATTTTAAAAACAGTGTTTAGAGAAGAAGTTCACAGATTGCCAAACAGGTCCATCACACAAAACAGGTTAAGAAGCCCATTTGTAAATTATCCTGCTTTTTTGTATATAAAGTCCCAGGCCTGAGATAGTGATGAATATATAGTTTAGATACAAACCATCCCTGAGGGGTCTAAAACCTTTTCCAAAATGCTTGATTTTTATAAAGCATGTGTTTTCTTGCAGTAAGGCTAGTGTTGTGTTGAGTTGGTATAGAAGCAGAATGAAATAACTCTGGACTTACAGTCAAGAAAATCTGAGTTTGCATCTTGCTTCAGATACTTAATGAGCTGTGTGATATTACTAATAATAACTTGCCTTTATATAATGTCTTAAGGTTTACATAATACTTTACATATGTCATCTCATTTGATTCTCACCGAGTAGGTGCTATGATTATACCTCTTTTAGAGATGAAGAAACTGAGGCTAAGGCCTGTGACGTGACTTGAACAGGGTCATTGAAGCAGGACTGCAACTCTGGTATTCCTGACTCCAAGTCCACTTAGCTTACCTTCTCTCTGTTTCAGTTCCTTATCTATAAAACGGGGGTAAATAATAGCTGTAGTATCTAAATCTTTTGGGATATTGTGTATGTATGTGTGACCCTCACAAACATTAAAGTTCTATATAAATGTTACTGTTGCTATATTGTTAATATTAAAACTAAATGATATAGTATAAAAGAGAGAAGACTTAAATAAAGTATATAGCACTACCAAAGACAAGGGTAATACCCAAAAGAGTCTCTACCATGGAGCAAAATGCAATTGAAACTGTTAATAATAAAAAGAAATAGTGATGGAATAATTTCCCAGTAGCAGAGACTAAATCGACTAAACTAGTTTCTAGATTTTATGATGCAGTAAAATGATTTCTATCTAGCACGGTAAGTAATGTTGCCTTAGGACTTGAGCATAGGTCACTATTGTAATTAAAATAAAGATGAGAAAAATAAAAAAAGTTCATTATAATGTACAGTGAGGATGCTATCACCTGACAACCTCAGGTTTATCAAAAATATGCTGAAACTCCCAAAGGCTAATTAACAAATGCTTTTGGGGGGCAGCTAAATGATTCAGTAGATAAGACTCTGAAACTAGAGTCAGGAAAACCGGAGGTCAAATTCAGTCTCAGACATTCATTACTGTATGATCCTGGGCAAGTCACTTAATTTCTGTGTGGCTCAGTGTCCTCACTTGTAAAATGGAACTAATAATAGCACCTACCTCCCAGGGTATGTTAAATGAGATAATAATTGTAAAGCACTTAGCACAGTGCCTAGCCCATATTAAACACTGCATAAATGTTAGTTATTATTTTTAGTAGTAGTAGTAACATTCCATTCTAATTCATAATCAGCAGAACTTTTATCACACCCAAATCCCAGCAAGGTGGAGAAGATAAAATGACATTGGAACATTTTTCTGAGACTTATAACAGACTTGTTGAAAGTCAAACCCGAATTATGGCTGAAGAAATGATACAAAAACACGCTTCATAGGATCATAACTTCACACCTGGAAGTGTCTTTAGAGACAGTCTAGGTCAACCTCCTCGTTTTATAAATGAGGTAACTGAAACCCAGAGAGGTTAAAACAACTTGCTCAAAGTCACATAGGTCATGAGGAGCCAAAGTAGAATTTGAAAGATGGTCTTCTGGCCCTAAGTCAATCACAGTTTCCACTGTACCATGATGCCTTTCTATTTCTTAATGAAAGCTGAGAATGCCATATAATGTGGCTTTGCATAATGCAACATATGTTATTTGTTCTTATTTTTAATGTATGCTTTTTTGCTTTTTATACCATATTCATCTTAATAGCCATCCTTTATAACAAAGATTTAAAAAGAAAGAAAGAAAAAGTTCAGCTAAAAACAATAAATATATCAACTGTGTCTGAGAGTATGTGCAACATTCTACATGTATGTTCACTCCTTCTGCAGAGAAGAGAGAAAGAAGCATTGCCACAACTCCTCTCATGGGACATGTTTGCTCATAATAATTACGCCAAGTCCAGTGTTGGTTTTGTTGTTCTTTTCATTTATGTTGTGGCAGTCCTTATCTGTATCGTTCT